TGTGCTTTCCTTGAAGGGGGAGAAAGGCAGAGACAAGGGCAGCTTCGCACCCAAACCCCATGCTGCGTGCACCGAATTGAGATGCAGCGCCCTATGCTGAAGCTTCATGCTGCTAGAACGTCCTGGGCGTCTTCAGCACACCTGTCGTGCGTCAGCAAGATCCAGTTGCATCCAGGGTGCGAAAGACCAGCTGTGACGGGTGACACTGCAGGGAGCCTGGACAAAAACCCGAGGGCGGTCGACCACACAGCAAACTCAGAGCAAACCGTTACTTTCAGAGGCTGCAGAGAACGATGGTGTGCATGATGTGACACATGCACAAGTAATGTAAACTCTGTAACTCCATCAGTACAAAGTCGCCCCTGGGAGTGGCACCTGAAAACAGTCATGCCATAGTTTATTCATAGTGTTTCTTTGCCCGCCAGATTCTGTTCTGCATCTTTACCCTTGTGACTGCACCCGTATCCGTACACACAGCCTTCTGTCACCGGCATCGGCTTGTTCAGGTCCTCGCCAGCAAATGGAAATCCATGGGGATGGGGGGGGGGGGGGCTTCGCTTCGCAGCCACAATACTCCTGCTCCACGCTTAAGAGCCCCAAATCGCCCCAAGCTCTTCCATTCTTTGGGTGGGACGGCAAGTCATTACAGAAGGTTCTCAATCGTCTGGTCAAGAAATTCAGGAGCCGTCCCGCCCATCCGCTCTCAAACTTATCAACCCAAGGGCTGGCAATTGGCTGAATCACAGCCCAGGCCTGCTTGTGACCACTGTGTGCCTTCTTTGTTGAGATTGCAAAGCCTAAATACAGCGGCCTGGGCGGCCCTAGCTACTCTGTACAGCATGCACCTCCCTGAACTATCGGTCCGTTGGTGTGGAGGGTGGCGTCTGCGGCAGTCGTCCTGGACTCCTTGGCCTCGGAACCTGGGCCTTGCAGGCGACCACGAGGGTTTCAAATCAGGATCCTCGAAGCTACCCTTTTCCAAGAGACTTCGCCCGCCTCGATAACATCCCCTCTACCCTGAACCACGAACACGTGGGACCCCGTAACAAGAGGGCACTTCTGCAAATTTCACGGATGCTCTCAGAGACACACAAGCTTCAGGCTGAACTTAGGTGGGGAGGCTCGGAGGCTGCACGGCAAGTTCGGCCTCAGGATCTGGGAGCACGCTCAGGTCATGGCGGCGTGCAAAGTGCCGCAGGGCTCGCCTGAAAACTCCAGATCGCCCTACAGTACAGCACAGTACGGTACAGTACAGTACGGTACAGTACAGTACGGTACAGTACCTTTAGGGGAGGAGGGATGGGCTCATCTCCCGTGGCCCCATAGTCAACTCACCCATGCAGGCAGGACTCCGAACTAGACCAAGTCCCGACCTCTGCTTCTGCAATTTCAGATCGCCCAGAATTTCTTTTCGACCGAAACTGCACAAAGGGCGATCCCTGATACAAGTGCAGGCTTAAATCTAAATAGACAAACACAAGGTGGCGGCGCCCGTGCGGGGCCCTGCGTTTGGACACATTTTGTGTTTGAGTTTTTGGCGTCGCGGGTGCAAAACTCAAAAAAAAACGCACATTTGCGCGTGAGAGCAGCTGGCGGAAGTGTCGAAAACACTGGAAGGTTCTTCTTTTTGTTTGTTGCTTTCTTTTTTCCAGGGGGTCTCTGGCCACAGCGCAGGCGTGATTTTCTGGAGTTGTGGTTTGGTTGAAACCCGAAAAACTTTGGTCCATCGTACCCGGAAAGTGGGTTTAGGCTGATTGTCCTCTTCAGGGTTCATGGTTCAGGATTTTAGGGTTCAGTGTTCAGGATTTTAGGGTTCAGTGTTCAGGATTTGGGTTTGCACTGTTCCGAGTGTTTGTTTGGGGTTGAGGGTACTTCTTTTCGGGTTGCGCTGCTCCCAGTGTTTGTTTGGGGTTAAGGGATGTTAAGGGTACGTTGAAATTGCGCTCTCGCCTAGGTGCGGGTGCAAATTGCCCATCACCCATCTTGAACTTTGAAATCACGTTCTTGGGGTTGGTTTTTTGTCTGTTGTCTGTTGGCTCAAACATTTCAGGTTCGAAATGTTGCTTTCGCCACAGGGATTTCGGGCTTGAAGGTTTGCAGTCGAAGTCACGTGATTACCCCCGCCCCCCCCCCCCTCCCACCCCCACCCCTCCAAAAATGCTTAAACGCATGGCCCCGTACGGGCGCCGCTTTCAAAAACAAGGGCGGCCAAAGGAAACCAAAAACAAACTCTACACAAGTCCCAAATGCGCATGGCCCCAAGCATCTATTTGCCCGATGTCCTGGGCTCCACGATCATGACGAAAAATCACTTAGGCTTCGTGCAGAATGTGGGGCTAAAGCTCTGGCCAGGCGGCAGCAGGCACCGGAGCTCACTATCTCGACCCCAGCCGAAGGAAAGCCGAAGGTGCCACCAAGCCTGACAGAAACCGGTTTTGGCCAGCACGGTTCGACTTTGGAGCTCAGTGGGCACTCAGTAGATTTAAACCGTTTTTCTCTTCTTCCCTTGCAAAAGATCAGCTGATGTTCAACGCAAAAGTGCCTTCCACGTGATGACAACTGATTTTGACATTGCAAGTGCACACATCAAATCATGTTTGGGTCTGCTCATGCTGAAAGAACATGCAAGCAGCTGGACTGCGTACAGCTGACATGCTGCAATGCTTGTACCACATTCAGCAACATCATACAAGGCTGAGTTTTATGGCAGACTGGGTGTGTGTGTGTGTGCCTTTTGCAAGTACAGGTGGTTGATCAGATCATTTTTGATTTGTCTTGGAACAGCTTAGCTTCGTTGGCACAGGTATCCAAGACAGGCCCGTGCCCCCTGCAAACGTTTGTCGAACAAACTTGACTATCAGGCTGGCTTGTACAGCACGCGTTCACGCATACCCCACCCACGCACGCACGCGTTTATGTAGATCCAGTTTGACATAGATCCATAGATCTAGGGCACCATGATTCTGTCGTAGGAAGTGCACAGCAGTATACATCACACGACGCACCATGTACAGCTTACGCTGTGGGGATGTCACCAATGGCAGGTACACCTGGCTGATCGCGCCATTGCATCACCAGGGAACCTAGAGTCGACCTAGAGTGTCTTCGTTGGTTGCAGACTCTGGTCCCTGCTGCTACCCCCTGCTCGTATACTGTATGTGTTCCCTTGGTTACGTCGGCATGCCCACACACCACCACGGACCACTCGTGTACCCCAAGCCTCCCTTCTCTGAGTGGCACGGTGCCAACTGCGCCCCGAGCTGGCCAAGCGAAGAAGCGAGGCAGGTGAGCAAAAGGCGAACACCTGGCCAGCACCCGGGTTCAAGGGGGGTTTGGGAGTAAATTCTGGGGCTTGCAGTAGCGTACCGCATACCTTTGACAGAGTTGCTCGTGTCAGCCTCGATATTCGACCCTGAAAACGTTCGGGATGTGAAGAAAAATTGAAGCGTCTTGGGCCTTGGCGCTTATGCTGCCTTGTGGGTCATACAGATGTGGGAGGCGAAGGTCCACGGAGTCGTGCCTGGAGTAGAGCTTGCACCCCTGGCTCCTCCAACCTCAGTTCGGGGCTCAAGCTTTGGATGTTGCGGGGTTTGAGTTGCTTTTTGTGTTCTGTATGTTTCTGATTTTTCGAGAGTACATACATATGTCAGGTCATGTCAGGTACTTGCCCAGTGCCCAAAGCCCACCCCCACCCTAAGCGCACTAAGCAGCAGCCACCACGGGGCGCGCAATTCCTCGGCGGCGAACTCGCAGGTGACTTGCCTGACTGCACGGGCTCGGATCTTGCTGTGTCGGATGTGGCCCCGAAACGGAACAGGTTCCCTGCGTACCACGTCACCAACCACACCAGCATGATCCGGTCGACCAACCCCTTTCCCTGCAAGCCTGTCGCCTTGTATCGCCTTATAAACCGTGCAGGTCTGAACCTCAAACCAAACAACCTACTGCGGAGGGCCTCCGACATGGAGGAAGGATCAGGAAGGTGGGGGTCAAACGTTTTTCTTGGCCACCCGTCTACCGGGTTAAGGTTCGAGGTTGAGCACCGGCCTCAATTTTTGCATTCGGAATAGGCATCTATCATGTGTTCGTCTCTAGCCTAGCCTGGTCCACCAGCATGCCCCAAACCATCCTCTGAAATCTGCGGCGTGAGTGAAGCTCAGAATGCGCTGCTGCAAGTCAGCTGCCTGGCATTGGGAAGCAACCATGCCGCCAACACCCATCAGGTCTTCCCTTCATCAGAGGACTACCTCCTAACATCTCCCAACTTGGTTCCACTATTGTGGATGAAACACCAAGCTGAACAACATGTGAGCATGCCTGTGCTCCAGGACCTATGCAAGCGGTGCCGTCGCCCATGACCAAAATCATACACAACCTTATAAGGCTAATGCGGCCAAGCCCTCTGTACCTGATATTGAGAAAACCACCCCCCGACCGCCTCAATGCCGGAGCTCTTTGGGCTCTCGCTCTCGGCCACAAATACCATGGCGGCCACACATGAGCACAAACTGCAACACCAATGACTCCCTGTAAACCCTGTATATCCCAACCACCAAGCTGAACCCTTGAAAGTAAAGACTACAACTGCAACCGAAACGATGCGCAGAATCCAAAGCCGTCCACAAGCTTGCGAGAAACACTTGGGGTGTCGGAACTCACCTTTCCAGTAATTCGCTTACAGCATGGATCTACTGAGGGTGCACGGAACAACCCCGCATCTTGAACAATTGAGCACTGCCCAAAATCTCTGAGACAGGCTAGCCTTTACATCCTGGTCAAAAAGAGGTCTGATCCCCTGGCCTTCCTATGGACAAAACTACGCAGCTTAGCCACAAAAACACTGACCTCAGCAATGCAAAGGCAAGCGTTGTTTGCGCTAGCTCTCGGTTCGACGACAGACAGTTTTTGTCCGTCGCAGCTGCCTTCGGCAAGCTTAGCATAGCTGTTCGTGATGTATCACGTTAGTAATGGGTTGCACTCTTTTGAGCTCCAGAAACACTTCAGCCACTGCTCACGTCTTTCAGCTGATGTTGCCTTGCGTCACCATGTGTTGGCATCATCTGTCGACGAAGTATGAGCTGAAGCTCCTGCAAGTCTGGATGCTTGCGTAAGTAGTCACTTTTCATGTACTTCTGGAGCCAAGCATTCAGATCCGGCTTGATCGGATCCAGACATGCTTCCTGAATGAAGCGCTCCATGATCATGGAGTGCTCGTTCTTCAGGACCTTCAGGAATTGCGCACGCACATGAGAACTTGCCATCTGCTGTGGCTGCCGGCTTTTTGCAACTTCCCTGTCCACATCCAGTGTCTGCAAGGATTCCCAAAGTCCTGCTTTCTGGGCGGCCTCATGAAGCTGCACCAATGCCTTCTCCAGGCCTTTCTCATAAGCAGCCTTTCTCTCTGCTTCGCGAGCGATCGCACTTCCCGGCACAAATTTCGGAGCTGCTTTCGGCTTCGGTTTCTTGGCACTTTGCAACCCGAAGTTCTTGGAAGATTTGAGTGCCCGAATGAAGGCTTCGCTCGTAAGTCCTTCGCCACTTCCCTCAGCGAACTGACTCACAGCATCGAAAGCTTTCTCGAATGCTTGCTTGACGGCCTGCTGCTCCTTGCTTGGCACGGTATTCTGGAGACTGGCGTTTGCCGTCACGTGGAAAATCTCCTTCGGAGTGTGCACCGCTAACGTCTCGCAGCGTGCTCCATGCGTTCGGACCAGCCTCTCATGAAGAAGCTTCACATTTCGCTGCGTCAAGACTCGCTGCAAATCAGCCCATGGTACCCGATAGATGTCGCATGTTGCGCTTTCCACGCGAACTGTGGCAGGTTCTGGGGACTTTAACAAAGCGGAATAGACACCAATAAGCTCTCCCGCTGTGGTGACAATCTGCGATGCTGGCATGGCTGCAGCTGCGTAGCGCAGCGTGCGGGCAGACCGCGGTGCTTCCTTGCCCTCGTGGCCCGGCGGGTAGCAGTAGGCCACGGCACCCTGCCGTAGGATTGTCACCTCCTTGCAGTCAGGTTCGCCGTGGCGCAGAAGAACACTTCCCCGATCCAAAGTGCAGCTTGTCATAGCCTTCGATGTCCGCACCATTCGCTGTCGGAGGGCAGGATGCAAATGGTCAAGGGCCCGGTTGCTCCCAGCACGCACTTCGACCTGCAGCACATGGCGGCAGAGGAACTCGGCGGCCTCGCGACGTTTCGCCTCCTCCATGGAGCCAACAAGAGCCACGTAATCTTCCCGGGTAACGACCAGAAGCTTTGTCGGCTCAACTGTCATCACCGAAGCAGTTCTCGCCTCCTTCTTGAGCAGCGTCTTGGCACCAAAGGCAGCCCCGGGTCCCAAGCGGTTCACCATCTTCCCGAGGTCTACTTGCGGCTTCTTGGAGCCCTTCATTCGTGACCTGACTCCATGCCAGAAGAGGCCACCTCGGTCCTGTAGCATTGTGCGGAGGTTGAGCTTTGAAGACGTTTCCGTCCCTTCCGTCTCCGAGGGTATGCCGGAGTGCGACGACTCTAGCTCGAGGTCGGGTGAGTCGGGTGAGTCGGGTGGCTGAGCCTGTGGCGAGGGCGGTAGGGAAGGTGGTTCCTGCGTCGGCTCAGCAAACTGAATCTGAATCTTGACGGAGCCCCGCTTGGCTTCGGAAGAGTCTTTTGAGTCTTTTGGGCCCTCGTCACCCAAAACCATGCGCACACCTTTGCGCCGACGCATAGCTCCTCTGGGGAGGTCCGGGAAGGACGCCGGCGTCATGGATCCAGCTGCGGAGGGCGCAATGCTGGAACTAGGGCTCGGTGAGATCTCCACGGAGGCGGAGGCCCCTTTCCTTTCTTTCGATCCTACCTTCTGATCCTTCTGATCCTTCTGAGCTGGCTCTGGAATTGCTGGCCGGGACGCACGCTCAGCCACAAGGGCTGTCAGCATCGCCTTGACAAAAGCGCTGTTGCCACTCCTCTCGGCGACTGCACTCATTGCATGTCCCTCCTCCAGGGCCAACTTCGGCCGGACATGTATGCTGACCAGGCCTTCGATGATGGCATAAAACCGGTCTCCGATTTGCCCTTGTTTACAGAGGACGTGGCCTGGGCCAGCATTAATGTAGGTGGCAGCGCCAAGCACCTGCATTAGCGTTGGCCTCTCAAAGCCTTTTAACTCAGGAGTGTTTTTCACCAGTTTGGCCAAAAGCGAGAGTTGCTCCTCGGAGCGATGGTGGGGCTCACCCGGCCTGGAGGGAGGGATGTTCCGCAGCGCATGCACAATGCAGTGCTTCTCGACTTGCGCCTCCTTGAGGCAGTGGAGATAGTCGCGCCGCAACAAGCGCAGAATCTTGCAGCGGCCCTCGCATCGCACAGTGGGCTCGTGCATTTTGGGCCCTCCCGGGTCAACCATGTCGCGCTGCCCGAGCACGAAACCTAGTCGCAGGTCGCCGTAGCGCTTCAGGTACACCTTGCCATTGTCGGCCTGGGACTTCACCTGAGCAGTGCTCGAACTTGTTGTTGTTTCTGCTTCTGCCACTTACGCCAGCAAACCTCTTCAACCATCTTTTCATGCAACATGTATTTTAAAAAAACCGACTTACTGCTTTGAAGGACCATGTAAAAGCCATGCATGCTGCAGGTCAAAGCATGGTTTTTCAACGGGACACCCTTGCAAAACCCATACAAACACCAGATCAGGGCCCATGCAAACACGCTAGGAAAACCCATGCAGACACCAGATCAAAGCTTGGGGTTTAAGCGGGACACCTTAGCAAAACCTATCGGACGCCTTAAGAAAACCCATACAAACAACAGGTCAGAGCTTGGGGTCTGAGTCTAAGCAGAGCATCCGACTGGATTTAACAAGGAAGCCTACGCCCAAGAGCCGCAATTTGAGGGAAACTGACAACAGCTCCATGAGTTCGATTTGCAGGCCGCATTACTGTTGCTAGTAGAAGTGCTAGTAGTAGCAGTAGTAGCAGTAGCAGTAGCAGTAGTAGTAGTAGCAGTAGTAGTAGTAGTAGTAGCAGTAGTCATCGTCGTCGTAGTCGTAGTCATCGTAGTCGTCGTAGTCGTCGTAGTCGCCGGAGTCGTCGTAGTCGTCGTAGTCGTCGTAGTCGTCGTAGTCGTCGTAGTCGTCGTAATCGTCGTAGTCGTCGTAGTAGTCGTAGCAGTCGTAGTAGTAGTCGTAGTCGTAGTCGTAGTCGTAGTCGTAGTCGTAGTCGTAGTCGTAGTCGTAGTAGTAGTAGTAGTAGTAGTAGTAGTAGTAGTAGTAGTAGTAGTAGTAGTAGTAGTAGTAGTAGTAGTAGTAATAGTAATAGTAATAGTAATAGTAATAGTAAAAGTAGAAGTAGTAGTAGTAGTAGTCGTAGTAGTAGTAGGTAGTAGGTAGTAGGTAGTAAGTAGTAAGTAGTAAGTAGTAAGTAGTAGCTAGTAAGTAGTAGCTAGTAAGTAGTAAGTAGTAAGTAGTAAGTAGTAAGTAGTAAGTAGTAAGTAGTAAGTAGTAAGTGGTACGTGGTACGTGGTAAGTGGTAAGTAGTAAGTAGTCAGTAGTCAGTAGTCAGTAGTCAGTAGTAAGTAGTAAGTAGTAAGTAGTAAGTAGTAAGTAGTAAGTAGTAAGTAGTAAGTAGTAGTTAGTAGGTAGTAGTTAGTAGCTAGTAGCTAGTAGCTAGTAGCTCGTAGCTAGTAGGTAGTAGCTAGTAGCTAGTAGCAGTAGCTAGTAGCTAGTAGTTAATAGTAAGTAGTTAGTAGTTAGTAGCCATTAGCTATTAGTTATAGTAGTAGCAGTAGCAGTAGTAGCAGTGGCAGCAGTAGTAGCAGTAGTAGCAGTAGTAGCAGTAGTAGCAGTAGCAGTAGTAGCAGTAGTATCAGTAGTAGCAGTAGTAGTTAGTAGTAGTTAGTAGCAGTTAGTAGTAGTTAGTAGCAGTTAGTAGTAGTTAGTAGTAGTTAGTAGTAGTTAGTAGTAGTTAGTAGTAGTTAGTAGTAGTTAGTAGTAGTTAGTAGTAGTTAGTAGTAGTTAGTAGTCGTTAGTAGTCGTTAGTAGTAGTTAGTAGTAGTTAGTAGTAATTAGTAGTAGTTAATAGTAGTAGTAGTAGTAGTAGTAGTAGTAGTAGTAGTAGTAGCAGCAGCAGTAGTAGCAGCAGTAGTGGTGCCGCTGCTGCAGCAACTGCAAGGCCTGCTTTGCAACAACACCAACACCAACAACAAAAACAGCTTACGGCTTACGCGCACCTCTTCTTCCAGGTCCGGCACAAGATCGGGCAGCATTCCGTCCTTCTTGTCTGAGGGGGCCATGGACGCACCAGTCTTCAGCGATTTTTTGATGCCTTGCTGGCCTTGCTCCGCAACGGGGGCGAGGTGGTCGAGCTGTGCTGTGCTGGCTGCCGTAATAAGTGGGTTTCCCTCCGATGACACCCGGCGATACTTGCCTGCCTTGCCTTCCCACAGCACCACCAGTGATGATGGCTCTGGCTTCTCTGGCAGGTGGAGTGGCTGCGGCAGCGCTTCACCCTCGCGGGCGCTCTGGAAACGGAGGCCGCGTGCCAAACTCCGGAGTTGTGGGAAGGCAAAGTCCTCAAAGAAAGGAAGGTCCTGGATGCATAAAACCAGCTGGTTGATGAGCTCCTCTGGCCACGTAGCTGGCTGCCTTCCCCTCCGCAGCTCGCGCTCCACTTGCTCACGCGCTGCCTGCAGGTCTGCCATGTCCTTCTCCACACGCGGTAGGTCCACATAAAGCACAGAGCACTCCTGCTCAACCACCATGCCAAGCACATCTGGATCGCCAGCATTTACCACGCCACCCTTGTGCATCTTCTCCCCTTCGGGGAGGCCTGGCTTGGCAACGCTGACCTTGCCGCTCAGCAGAAGGACGAGAGGTGACTCTGCTTCGAGGATGCTGTCGCAAAGCCCACCCCTGCTCCAGAGAACTTCGTTTCCTTGCACGTCCAGGTACTTGGCAGATCGGAACCCGGCGATGATGGTGGCATCAGGTTTATCCTGGAAGATGGTTTGCTGCCTGAGCTCCTTGCCGCATGACAACAGCTCGCGCATGGAGAGCTTTCCGCTGCTCTGAACACGCTGCAAAGCGGAGAGGAAGTCACGCTCTGCCTCTTCCTCTTCCTCATCGTCGCTGTCGTCATCTGGGGGCAGAATGACCTCGTTGGGGTTTTGCACAGCATTGTCCTCGTCTGCATCCTGGTTCCTCGCGTCGAGCTCCGACTTTAATGCAGAAAAAGCCGCCAGCCCATGCAAGGCTACCGTTTTGAACCCGCCGCTGCTTCGACGTCTGAACACCCTTCCCTTACCACTTCTTTCACTTTTTTCACCTGCCACCTTTGCATCACTTTCTTCCATCTCGTCCACATCCAGACGACTGGCAGAACCTGATGGCAACCAACCCTTGAGCTTGGGGACGGCTCCAGGTCGACCGCTGGGGGATGCGCTTGGAGTCGCATCCTCGTCGGGAAAAAACTCCGGGCTTGCCTGAACCGCCGACATAACGGAGGCCTTCAACCGTCCAGCTGCTCCAGCTCTCCGTTTCCGTACGCTGTCGCCATCCTCGGCATTGGCTTCAGTCGGAACTTGCGCCGCACTTGCAGCAGGCGACCGCAATGCAGCCGCTGCAGCGCTTCTTAAATCGCGCGGGGACGCGGAGGGTGACGGTGATGGTGCAGGCGACTCCGCATCAAAAGCAACAGATGGGCTTGGACTGGGTGACTTTGAAACACCCGCAAGGACCAATGCGGTCTTGAGCTTTGCTCGCCGCACTGGCGTCTCTGGCGAAGCCGCCATCGCACGCAAATTTGGTCACTGTATTGAGGACTTTCCCCTAGCCTAGCTGAGCAAAAGTCTCCACATGTTCAGGAAAGTTCAGGATTTTTTGGTCAGGGGTGCAAGAGTTCACATACCTGATCCATGCAGGACGCCTCTGCACATTACTGCACATTGTGCTGATGTTGTTTGGTGCGTCAGTGTTGGGCAGTGGTCAGCAGCTGCGGCGCAAAAGGCAACACAAAGACCAAGAGTATCGCATCTCTCTCCCTGTGATTTAACATGGCCCCGCAATGTCTTCCCGAGCATTCAAGAGAGCAGCCACGCGGTTTTCGGCTGCAACTTGGACCAGGGCCAGGAAAGACTCTACAATGATTCAACAAATACTGGCCGCAAGCAGGTACAAACAACTGCTACTGTGCCGCTGCCTGATTACAGCCAGTCCTGATGCAACACAACAGGGCAGCTGTGATTTGACATGGCCCCGCAATGTCTTCCCGAGCATTCAAGAGAGAAGCCACGCGGTTTTCGGCTGCAACTTGGACCAGGGCCAGGAAAGACTCTACAATGATTCAACAAATACTGGCCGCAAGCAGGTACAAACAACTGCTACTGTGCCGCTGCCTGATTACAGCCAGTCCTGATGCAACACAACAGGGCAGCTGTGATTTGACATGGCCCCGCAATGTCTTCCCGAGCATTCAAGAGAGCAGCCACGCGGTTTTCGGCTGCAACTTGGACCAGGGCCAGGAAAGACTCTACAATGATTCAACAAATACTGGCCGCAAGCAAGTACAAACAACTGCTACTGTGCCGCTGCCTGATTACAGCCAGTCCTGATGCAACACAACAGGGCAGCTGTGATTTGACATGGCCCCGCAATGTCTTCCCGAGCATTCAAGAGAGCAGCCACGCGGTTTTCGGCTGCAACTTGGACCAGGGCCAGGAAAGACTCTACAATGATTCAACAAATACTGGCCGCAAGCAGGTACAAACAACTGCTACTGTGCCGCTGCCTGATTACAGCCAGTCCTGATGCAACACAACAGGGCAGCTGTGATTTGACATGGCCCCGCAATGTCTTCCCGAGCATTCAAGAGAGCAGCCACGCGGTTTTCGGCTGCAACTTGGACCAGGGCCAGGAAAGACTCTACAATGATTCAACAAATACTGGCCGCAAGCAGGTACAAACAACTGCTACTGTGCCGCTGCCTGATTACAGCCAGTCCTGATGCAACACAACAGAGCAGCTGTGATTTGACATGGCCCCGCAATGTCTTCCCGAGCATTCAAGAGAGCAGCCACGCGGTTTTCGGCTGCAACTTGGACCAGGGCCAGGAAAGACTCTACAATGATTCAACAAATACTGGCCGCAAGCAGGTACAAACAACTGCTACTGTGCCGCTGCCTGATTACAGCCAGTCCTGATGCAACACAACAGGGCAGCTGTGATTTGACATGGCCCCGCAATGTCTTCCCGAGCATTCAAGAGAGAAGCCACGCGGTTTTCGGCTGCAACTTGGACCAGGGCCAGGAAAGACTCTACAATGATTCAACAAATACTGGCCGCAAGCAGGTACAAACAACTGCTACTGTGCCGCTGCCTGATTACAGCCAGTCCTGATGCAACACAACAGGGCAGCTGTGATTTGACATGGCCCCGCAATGTCTTCCCGAGCATTCAAGAGAGCAGCCACGCGGTTTTCGGCTGCAACTTGGACCAGGGCCAGGAAAGACTCTACAATGATTCAACAAATACTGGCCGCAAGCAGGTACAAACAACTGCTACTGTGCCGCTGCCTGATTACAGCCAGTCCTGATGCAACACAACAGGGCAGCTGTGATTTGACATGGCCCCGCAATGTCTTCCCGAGCATTCAAGAGAGCAGCCACGCGGTTTTCGGCTGCAACTTGGACCAGGGCCAGACTCTACAAGACTCTACAATGATTCAACAAGTACGTGCCGCGAGCATGTTCAACCAATCGCTCGCTACTGCTACGGTCCCGCTGCCTGACTGTGGCAACTCACGCGGCAACGAACACTAGGCACTTGGACAAATGCCCAGGATCATCCATGACGGCCATGTAATATCCACATCACGTGTTGCTGCTGATTCAGCATCAGGCGGCAGCAGGTGCAGCCACGGGCATTCCTTTTTTCCCATGCAGCTCTCACAGGTTTTTGGCACCCTGGTGTTGTCACAGGGTCGGTCTCTGACTCAGCTACGAACTGGCTGACCCTCTGAGTAGGCCGCTGCTGTCGGAAAACCGGCTTTCGTCTAACTTTTAGCCGTAGTGAAGTGTAAATGCCCTTGTAGTCGTAGATCAGTCATGATGAGTCCACACTAAGGCGACCAAAAACCAAAACTTTTGACTCGAACCTATCCAACAAGTGCAGCGGGAAACGGCATACTTGGACAAAAAGATGGCTCCGGCTATTTAGCCGTGTGTGCGGCCACTTCGGCACACGAAGCCATCAGAGGGCCCGCTGCAGACGCGTGAGAGCGGCTTGCTCGACTTTACCACTCGGGCCAGCTAGGCTTGGGAGATCTTGGCTGTGTCCTTTTTGGCTCTACTGTCTACAATGGACCCCACCCACTCTACCTGGCCCGTGATGATACTCAGGACGGCAGTTGGTCCCAGCATATCTGTGCAATCTCAAGCCGGTTTTGTGACTGGTGTGGATCCACCTGCCGAGACCATACTGCGACTTGTAAGATTCTGGTAGGCCTTGATGACGCACAGTTGAGGTTGGGGGACCGGAGGCCTCCATCACTCAAATACATGGCCCACTTGCAACCTCGGTAGGTGGGCCTACACAGCGCAATGAGTGGCCCTATACGCACATTGCAGTTGAGGTCTGTGAAATACATTTTCCGACTCGGTGAAGCGCGCCTTAGCCGAACATCTTGGAGAAAACCTTCTTTTGGCCCTCCTTCTGCTTATTCCTCGGTGCTGCATGCGAACTGCTTGCTGCACAAATGTCCATGGCCTCTGAGACTCTACAGATTCCACGTGAGGTGAAGAGAAGGACTGCTGCGCAATACTCCTCATTCTCTGCAAAAGTCCCAGCAACAGCACTTAGTGTCATCGGCAACTCCAGGGCACAAAGACTACACATGAATGCAAACAAAGACTCAGCAGCTTCTGTAGGCGCTCCTAGCAAGTTCATCTTGTATTCGGGATGGGTGGCGCGGGGATTGTCTAGACAATCGGAACGAGACTCCGAACGGGGACAAGGCAGCTCTACCAACGGGTGTGCTGTGAACATCCAAGATCTCGAATACATCGGTGTTCGCCGACAGCCCGAAGGCTAACGGGCATGTTTGTACCGCATCTGAAGACCAAATAACTTGGAAACTATCAGCGAAACCTGACCCCGTAGAAGAACAAGAAAGTCATCTTCTGAAGAAATAGTTGGGATGTCAGGGAATCCTTCTGGCAGGACACCTTGCGTAGAAGCCTACAGATCATCAGCCCACCTGCGACAGGCCAGGCCCAGACGCCCGCCTGCGCCCTCTTGAGGTCGGCATCTTCCGGCGAGACTGCCAAGCCCTTCTTGATGTCCTGTTTGGGTGCCCAGAAGTTCGGATCGCCCTATGGAAGTTCATGGACAGGCTGTCACGAATCCTGGGTCATCCTGCCATACCTCATGCCCTGGACCTGGGCTTGTAAGAAGACTCCACCTTGTGTCTCAGGTTTGGGTATTCGTGTCCATGTCGAATGGCTTCGGTGCAAGTGTCACAAGGTCCTTGAGCGCATCCTCAAGCTCCCCAAGCCTTGGGTCAAGGGCTTGGAATGCTGGGTGGGGGGGATTTGGGGGTGGGGCGAGCCCGCGATTGTTTTGGGGGGCTTCGACGCTCCCACGCGCACGAAGGCAGGAAAGGCGATATCAGGGAGAGGCATCTGACACACCCACCTACAGGCTCCCAATGAAAGTCAGCGTAAGCAGCGATAGCCAAACCTCTAAACTCAGGGCAGCGACTTCTCTTGGCACAGGCTTCTTCTGAACATTGCCTTGATGCTACTGGCGTCCAGCTCCTTGGATGCACTCGATCCGAAACCCTCAGTCATGTTCGTTGAGGATGTCGGGTTCGAAGTAATGTGACTATTCTTGTTTGCCGCCCACCTGACACCTCACAGGTCAGTCTGTAGGGACAAAACGACTGGGAGAATCACTGGCACGCCTGGGTGGGTTGGGCAGCAGGCTGGCCTTAAAGCTTCAACTTATGCTCGATGTATGAATCAACAAGGTCCGGGGAACAAGAACATGATAGACTGTGCATGTGAGGGAACAAGACCGAAGCATCGCGCAACCTGACTCGCTGGTAGGGCCAGAAAAACCCTCAGACCTGTGAACATAAACCCCAGAACCTTGAACTGATGCAGGTGATGTGGATGTTGTGGTAATATGGGGCAACTCCGTTGGGAGAGCATGTGTTGGGGAGAAGAGAAGAACGGATTGAAGAGGTCCAAGGGAAGGATGGTTCCGACCAAGCCACCAGGACATCCTCGCACGAAGTTCTGGCCTGAAGGCACGCTGCAACTGACCCCTGGTGTTGACAAAGTGTCATAGTCACGCTCTGAGGGTGTTCGTGTCCACGTTTTGGGGTTATGGGTTCGAAGCCTTGTCGGACAACAATCTTGTCACCACACTGTGGCGTTGGCATTCTGGCAATGGAATGTACTATAGGGCTCTGGGCTCGTACGCCGGCCCCCAAACCTTAGAGCCTTAGAGCCGACAGTCGTGATCCATGCTCACCAAATAAGATGATTTAACCACACCCGCCGACAGGCGCTTGGAACAAGCAGAGGGCTTCACAATTCCTCCTGTTCAGGGTTTCGGGTTATAGTTCGACCTGCGGCTGCTTCTGCATCTGCAGCCAGACCATGCGGAAACTCCGAGGTGCACCGCATGCAGTTGCTATGACTGCTATGATGACCGGAACTCGCCCATGGCACAACAACAAGGCTCAAAGGGTTCAGCGGCTATCGGATCAGCTTGATATATACACCGGATGACAACCAGAGAGTAAGTATGTTTAGAACGATGGCCAACGGTTCAGTTCTTCGGCAGAATGCTCAGAGGGTGGTTTCGTACAGATTTGCTATGGTGCTGCAGTCTTTTTTCCGAGCTTCAACCTTGAAGCAAACTGTGGTCTCTCTGACATTCGAAGATGTGCGGACTTGTGGAGAATGAGATTGCGGCGGCAAATGTTGGAGTTTGCGTTTGCGCAGTTTGCGCATGACCAGAAGAGCCCGGCTATCTTGCCAGGCTTTAACCACCTGTTCGGCAAATCTACGCTTGAACTTGACGCCGAGCGATGGCTGACATGAAGGGTGCACGACTACATGTTAAAAGTCGAAGCAGCTGAGCAGGTCTTGCCCTGCGCTCTCTACACAACAATTTGTGTATTTAGAAGGTCTTTGCCTTGCCGTGTGTACGCCCACGTGGCAGCTCTCCCGGCTCTCCCGGCCCTGCCGGAAGAGCCCCATGACGGGGGCGTGGAAAGAAAGTGCCCCCAGGAACCCGAGTAATCCCGAGAAGCAGAAGGCTCCACCCAGACTACGTTGCTGCAAGCTTGCCCTCGTCTCCCTCTGGGAGCGATTCGCCTGCTTCGATGCACGTCGAGCCAGTAAGGCTGTAACAAAATCAAGATTTGCCTGTCCATTTTAGCACTCGACTTCGTCACCGGCTTTCAGATTGGGTGGGTGCGTCCTTTCAGCTCGGGCTTGAGGCCTTTAGATGCAAGCACTGTGGGCCTTCTTGTAGAAGGGCTCCGCGGCATTCTTTCCGCCGGATTGGGCAGCAGCTTCGCCAGCCTTGATGTAGCCTGGGCTACACTGGCTACACTACGCCAGAACCTAAACCAAAGTCTCACAAACCCGGCATGGACAAGGTGACAAGGTGCTGAGCTCATAGTGAAACAAATCGGTCATGGCTTAGTGCCTCAGCCATGATCCTATAAGGTCCTACAGAAAAGCGTCTTGAATCGCCAACCCATATAAACTCTTTACTGCTAGTCTCCGCCTGCCTTTATCCTCAAACCCTCAATCCCTTCCTGCCGCATCCCGAACACTCAGACCTCCTAATTTCCGAAGGATTCGGGAGCATCGCTCTCAGACTTGTTGCTGCCAGCACTTCCTGCAACCCATGGGCACTGAGCACTATTGAGATGGCAGGAGACCTGCAGGAGCCGATGGCTGGCGTGGGTCTTCTTATCACACATCCACGGCGGCCAGCGTTCAATTGTTCTGATGCCTTGTTAGCGTGGCTGCTTCGGGCTAGGCTCTACACCCTTGTCGCCCAACAAGGCCTGAGCCGGAAACCAGAAACCCCCCGCCTTGATCTTCTTGGCCTCCTCTGCCTCATCGGGAGTCATGTTGCTGACCACCTCCGGCCGGCTTACCTTTCAGGGGGCTCGGAACTGTGGCTGCGAGACATGTCATGTTGCTGGGTATGGCAGCTGGTTGCTACGCGTTGGCATTGGCGGTGTTGAAGCGTATGCGGGATTCCGGATGCGGGATTGCAAAGCTTGTTTCTGAGAACAAAATCGAAAAATCGGAGTTCGAAAGAGCATCCGAAAAAGACAACAGCCAGATTGGGGCTGGCCTTACGCGGTAAAACGGCAAATGCAGTCAAATTGTAAAACGGTCAGGTGAGCACGAAAAAAACAGTGATCATGTAAAACCTAAATAGCAGCCACCCGCGCGGTCTAAAACCAAAGGGAGCGAAACGCGAAAAATCTAGACTTTTGGAACTCTCAACGTCTTGCGCGCCCAAGGTGCGTGGTCGATGGCCTTCTTATATCTTCTGACAGCCTCCCAAGACGTCAGATGCGAGGGGGTGTCCAGCACACGATCTGGTCTGAGCCCCGGGCATCGTCAAACTTCTGGGCCTTGAACATATCCTGCAGTTGTCTCATATGGGATCGGCTGTGCAAGTCACATCTCAATCCAAGTCTATCAATCCAAGTGTCGTTGCCCTCATCCTTGTTCTTCTGAGCCAGTCTTATCCGATCCTCTTTCTTCATGGCACGCTCATCCTGGCTTCTGACCGTTGGCCCGCGCAGCCCCGAACATGAGGTCCACAGGCAATGCCCCACCACCCAAAAAAAACAAACTCGGAGCTTTCTTGCGGCTACCCAAGCCCTTCTGAGGGAACTGGCGACAGGGCAGTTGAACAATTCGACAATGAGCTCTTGCGTTGCAGGCCCATCCCGGCACCTTGTCGAAGTCCATGCCGAGCTCCTTTCGTCGCTCCCGCTCAGCAGCTGCTGCCTTTTCGATCTCTTTCTCCTGGTCTTCGTGCTCCTTTGCTTCAGCTGAAGGGGGATCTGAAGGGGGATACTGTATGGACTTCGGGTCCGGGTTGTAGGAACTCGACGTGTCACCTAAGCTCAAACTCAGCAAAGACTTTGAGTCGGTATATGGCGGGCTCGTGTTGTCAACGCTTGCACCAGGTAAGGCAATTCATTCGGAGAGACCTGGCTACAGAATACGGCCCGAAATTACACTAACCAGGGACGACAGCCCGACAACCCTGAAACAACAAATTTCGATAGCCAAAAGAGGCTCTGAAACCTAACGGAAGGACAGAATTAGCGTCACTTTGATTGGGCCCAACAGTGCTTTACACGCCTTGGCTTTCTGCTCGAAGTACGCTGCGCCCGTTTCCTTCACGAAGGTCTCCACCTTGGACCAAAAAACCCGAAACACCTGTTGCACGGGCGCTGAGGGTGCAGTGCCAGGGCGACAGGGTGTCAGTCTCTCTAGGTATTCTGACCGGCCAGTACCCTAAGGATTACCCTTCGGCCGCCGCTTAGTCCCTGTTGAACCCTTTAGTCTGCCTCCTGCAACTTGTCCGCATACGCCTGGTAGGATGTAGGCTCCTCTGCCATATCTGCGTCCTTGCAAGATGCGGAAGTCTGCAGGGCGTCGGGGCAAAACAACGTCTTAACAAGGCTAACAAGGCTTATTGCAAGCGTGTTGGTCTCGACAGGTGTCTTTACGATGTGCAAAACGAAGTTGAAGGTGGAAAGGGTCAGTAGCTCTAACAGAAACTAGAGCTGCAGCATCTGGGAAGACCTGCGGAGGTCCTCAAACCACAACACCACTTTGTCCAAGTATGGGTTGAGCTCGCTTGGATTCAGCAAGGATCCGTTTTTGCCATTCCTGGGCCATGGCGATGCATGGCACGGGAACTTCATGTGGACGCTACTGGTGAAATTATCCGCAACTCCACCGCTATGGACAACCCAACAAATCTCCCTCAAAAATCATAACAAACTGGGTTGCTACGCAGGTATGTTGAATCTTATAGTGGGAGCAGACCGACTTGAAATGGCAAAGGGGGGGATGTATCTTCTGCCTGTCATTAACGGGTTTCGAGTCGCTTCACCGAGTGGCATCCAATCCCGGACCTGGTACACATACGACTCCAAGGTATTCCTCTTCTCAAGCCGTTGCCTGGGACTCACGGCAGGTGATCTGTTGCTTGTGGGACTACATTGTGACTGCGAGGATGCAGAACAAGGATGCCTGACTTCACCCAATCTGGAGGACCACTATACTCAACCATGGCCAAAGAAAGCTTCAGACTAGACCGGCCACGTCTTGAAGCCCAAGGGCTTGTGTGCCCACTAGGCCGCGAGGAAAACCAATCTCAAGCCTCTACAGCTCATTGAGCTTTGAGCAGGGGCACACCTCTTCACTGTGGACAGCCTCTATCTCGGCCTCGTGAGTGCGAATGCGCCCAAGCTCCTCTTGGTCGAGGCCTCCTCCAGAACACTGAGGACTCAGTGGGGGTTATTTGTCTGCGCATCGGTACCTCTCTGCCCGACCCCCATACCTAACCGAATATCTACCAAATCCAGCACAGTACAGCAATGCACATCATAATGGAAGTTTGGTTTGCAGGGTTGGAAGCTTCAAGGTTCAACGCTGTAAAGATTAAAAGGTCCGAGGGTTTCGTGTTGTCTCAGTCTGCAGTTGAAAAGTTTAGAATTATAAGCTGAGGGTACGGTTGCACGACGACGCGAACTTCCGACAGTCTTTAGGTCAGTGGCTTGGGATCATGTACATGTCTAGAATACTTGAAGCAGCAGGAGCTTCAAAAACCCAAGATTCCAACTATTCACACCTATATACACTAACAACTCCAATGAGACTCATGGGCTCCGAGTTTCCTACGCCCATCGCTGCGTCCATGGCTGACAGAGGCCGCCGTCCCGCGGCCCAGGCAACGGCGCCGCTGGCCACGCAGCCTCGCACCAAGACTGAGGAGCGCGCAGGGTCTCCAATTGTGACTGAGTCCCGAATTCCGCCGCACATCCCATGTGCCGGAGAATCAAAGCAAGCACATCGCTACACGTCCTTCATACATAGCCCGCAGATAAACAATCTTGCAGGAGGTAGAACGACCATAACACATAATAACAATACTGTAGGAGGAGAGGCAGGATATGGCAGGATATGGCAGCACGAATGCAAGCCGTCATCGCCCCTCAACTTTCGTCGCGCCACTGGCGCCGTCGAGGCCGAAGCGCAGCGGAACGGACTCGCCCACGGCATCCTTCACCTGGGCCACTATAAGGATTCAAACACGGCTCAAGGCTCTCAGAGGGCTTCGTATGGCGTCGTGTTCGCTCATGATTACGGCCTCTTCTGGCATGGGCCTGACAAAGGGCACCAGTCTGCAAAACAATGCCACACAAACTGGCTGAACCTGGCAGAATAACGATTGGAAGGTATGAAGCAAAAGCTGCTTGGGCTGCTTGGGTTCCTTTTCAGGTCCTAGTGGCCAGCTTCTGCACGGCTGGGATGCGACCACCACCGCCAACGAGTTCCACTGCCTCATGATGTAAAGTCTGTAGAGGATTCACATCCCCGCGTGCTTGGGCAATCGGATTAGACTCGGACTTTGGTGGCAATTACGACTTATTATGGAAAAAGATGGCAAAAGAATCAGATAAAACGTCGCATGTTTAGCTTCGCTTCGCATGTTGAGCTTCCCATGCAGTTCTGGCTGATTTTGGGTTTTGCACACCCTCATCGCTTACCCGTTCGGCGCTGCAATAGCCATGTTGCAAATCCCCCTCCTCCACACAAAAGCACCCACTCCCTGCAAACCGAACGACAAGCTCTAACGACTTGGCCGACAGTCTGCATGTGAAAACGCCGCGTGACTGAAGCCCGCAGCTGGCAACATCCAAACCGTTTCACGAATCAATGAAGAAGAAAGAATACTTCCCAGAAGATGCCCAGCACTCCATTCCCACCTTTCCCACCTTTCCACCGATCCTGCAAATGAGGTGCCTCCAATGGACCTATCGCGGCTGCGGCGGCTAAGACCTCAAGGGGACTGGTTCGGGTTGTGGTCCAAGGCTGGGCAGGGTTGTGAAATGGAAGTAATGCGAACCAAGTGAGTGTCGTTCTGGTTTGATGCTGTGAGGCGGTGCCTTCTTTTTGTTTTCTCCACTTTGTCCCTTCACTACAACTTGCAGCGAGAACAAGCAATACAACCATAGATAGCGACGGGCATGAATGCGCAAACAAGGTCTTTTCATGCAGGCTGAGCATGCCTGACCCGTCAACTCCTACATCAATATCAAGCCTCAGCCATACATGCTGCCTTAAGACGCTCCGAGAAGATAGGGATACCCAGCAACATAACTCTGCACGTGGACTTCCCGTCCACTTGGGCACATCCAGCCGCCTCCTTCAGCCGAGAAAGCACTGACGCTGCCGCAGCCTCATGAAAGCCACAAAGGATCGGAGCGCCGGGCGACGCGCTGTTTATGGGAAACCGGATTTGGCTCCAGGACTACACAAACTTGTAGAGGGTGGTGTCAGTGCGAAGGCGCGGAAGGCGGCTGCAAATCATTGGGTTGTAAGGAGATATAGGATCTGGCAGCTCCACAACCAAGCAACAAGCAATTAATTGCCGCAGATGTTGGCACCCTAAACTGACCAGTGAGCGGCGAGAAGGAAATAGATTCAGAATTGTTGGACATCCTGCTAAAACCTACAGCACGCCGAACTGCTGTATGAAGCACGCGCGCGTTCCCCACAACCCTTTGGAACCCCAAGCTCACTCATCCCAGCAATCCTCCTAACCTTTTGATTTCAGGGCAAACCCTTGAACCCTGCAGCACCCTGCAGACGCCTTGGAGAAAGACCCCTCAGGCCTCGAAGACGGTGCGCGTCAGAGGCACCGACACATCGATCTCGGGGCCCTCCGGGCCCTCCGGCATGAATGCCTCGAGACCTCGTTTGGCCAGGGTTGCGACGGCACTGTGGGCGGAGGCATGGACCAAATCCTGCAGTCCCCAAGTTCATGGCCAAGACCCTAGGAAGCTGCGCTGAGACTCTGCACTGGGGCTGCTCTCATGGTGTTAGAAGCCCAGGCTGCGATAAGAGCAGAGCCAGAAGAACCCAATGGTGGTGCTCAATCGGCTTCTGCTCGGGGCCGCTGGATGGGCACCCCGCAGGCTTGAAGCGGAACCGACATGGGCAGGCAAAAATCATCCTCCAGGTCATCAGCCTGCCAAAGCCACCACCTTCAGAGTGCTGAGCCGGACAGTCTATGGGAAGGTCAAGAGATGGCCTCAAAAGATGGCATCCTCCTCCAGGTGCCCAGATCGCAGATCCAACCAACCATTTTAGCCCTTCTCATTCTTCCCTGTCACACTGGTCACCAGGCGCAACGATTGAAATCACCCCCTTCGTCGATGCACCCCAAGGTTGAAAAAACAAAAAATGTGAGCCAGATTAAAAAAGGTTGGGCATCTCCTCGTGGCCTGTTTTGTGACTAGCTGTGTCCAGAGTTGGATATTAGCATCATCTGAAGTTCAATTGTGCACACAAGAGTCTTGTCGAAATTGTTGCTCTCGGCTCACAGCCTTCACCCTACCGTTTCCCCGTTTCCCATAGTGAAGCCTTCCACAAGTCACGCAACTTTGTCGCTCACCTCAGCTTGAATCGAAACAGCTTGTACTCTTTGGTGGCCTCGAGTCGAATAGCAACCCTCGCAGCCTCAAAGGTCGTAGGCTACAGACTGCTCAATGTCACAGGTTCGCGCTCCAAGCAACTTGCCATCAGGAATCCGCTAAAGCCACCGCAACAACACGCAGCGTCAATTCGGGACTTGTTGACGTCGCTGACGTCGCCCGCTATCTCAGAGCAGACCATGTGGCAAATTGACCGGCGTCCCAAGCCGATTGGGCGTCTCGAGATCAGCAAGAACATCTCACCCCTTGCCGTCAGACCGCAGTTGGATCCAGCTCAAAAGCACGCCGGAAATCTATCAAGTCTATCGGACATGCGAAAGATGTGACACCAGGCCTTCCTTAAAGCAGTGGAAGCAAAAAGGCTCTCAGCTGAGTCGCCCATCTCTGCATCCGGGAGCATGCTCAGCTGCTTCAGAGCATGGACGGCCTGCTAAACGACAATTTGCATGGTTGAGGGCTTGGGGCTGAAGCAGCAGGGCTTAGGCTTATGCTTTATGCACCAGTTTCTTCTGCACTCAAGGCTCTCAACTGGAGCTCACCAGCTATCTCAATTTGTTGGCAGGGTTTTTGTGAGCACGAAGCTTCGGAAACGCATTCTGCAGACATATGGGCACTCTCAACCTCTGCTCTCCCGTCTATATCCCGGGCGCGCCACGGGGGGCTCGCGTCACGAATACGACTTCCAGCGAGGCCTAATCTCCAACAGACTAACATGGGCTTTTCCATTTAGGCAGCCAGCGGGTGCATGCGGGTGCACGCGGGTGCAATGGCCTCGTTTGCCAGGCGAACGCCTGACTTTGTGCCAAGCTTGACCTGGATTGGAGTTGAGGGAGGCAAGGATGTCTCTTGGCAGAAAGTCAAGAGACACTTTACACTCGATACCCCCATTAGCAGGCTCACATCAGACTCGGATGGTGAAAGGGAAGGCACCTCTTCCCTTCCTATACAAGGCATGGTACACAAAGCTCATGACAGCCAGGCAAAGAAGGAGCTGGTGCTACTACTGCTGCTGCTGCGGCGGCGGCAAAAAGCATTCACAAGCGAGCGTCACGAGCATCAACCACTCGGCAGCGCCCAGAAGCGAGCATCATGAGCATCAGTTGCTGCTGTCCTTCTGGTCCCGGCATCGCCCACAAGCCATTCGATCATGAGCATCAGCCGCTGCGCCGCTACCACCTTTCTGGCCGGTAGAAAGCGAGCATCATGAGCTTCAGCCGCCGCCATCCTGCCGGGCAGTGCGCGCAGCCTTATTGGCGGAGGGGGGCTCCTGGGCTTGGGGCACTTGCCCTACTTAGCCCTACTTGCCTCACTCACTTGCGTGCTTGCCAACTGAGGAGTGCAAGAGGGGCAAGTGGAAGGAAATGGTTACAAGTCCAAAACGCTACCGTTCATCCATGTGAATGCAACCACGCTGTGTGGCGAAGCTGTTCAGTCACAGTCAAGTGGGGCAAATTGGGCAAACGGTGCATTCAAACGAACCATAGTAAATACATGTAGCAACTAAATAGCACCAAGCACCAAGCGTGGCAGGCAGGGCAAAGAACGGCTATAATTAGAGTCGTTTTTGCGTGGGGAGGCAAAGTAGTGAAGTCCCCCACCTTGCACGAGTGCTTCTGCTCTATTCGGGAGATCGCCTCCTTCAGAAGAGCCGTCATCAGGCCTTGCGGTCCCGGTTGGGGGGACTCCAGTCAGGCATGTCTTTGAATGTTTGTAGGGTTCAAGATGAAAATGGGAGGCCTGCAAAACGGTGGCTTCCTGACACCCCTGCCATGCAGTACTTACAATCGTCAACCAGCAAGGAGATCTGATCACATCCTCACGCCACGATACATCTATCTGAAGGCCTCGACCAAGATCAACACGTGTACAAGTTGAGCACAGACACTTTGCACGCCCAACTCCTCCTCGCTGCACCGGTACCTCGGCGATCTCTGCGGCAGGTACGGCGACATGAGAGCGCAGTTGTGATTGCAATCGCTTCTGCTCTCCACTCGCAACTTTGAAAGGACCAGAGATGATCAGAGCGAATGCTGCAGTAATCTTGCAGTAATCTTGCAGGCTGCACTCGCACCTGTACTTCCCATGTTTTGGATTTAGACCGCCGTTCCACGAGAAAGTTAAGGTTGTCATCACTTCGTCTAGGTTGCAGGAACTCCGCAGATATGCCTGCGGCGAGGGGTGAGGACGCCTCATCGGGTGCGCCCTCTTTGCGGGCAAAACGGACCTTGGTGCCGTGGTGATTGTGGCCAAAAACGCTTCGTACTGACATTTGCATCCACTTTAGCTCCTCACACTCCAAAACCGTCCGAGAAATCTCAAGCCGGCCGATGGAAATCGATGATATCTGTTCAGTGCAGCAAGACATGGAGCGAAAATCGCTCATGAATTCGCTGCTCCTCCACAACTAAGGATTCCAATGTTAAAGACACGGAATTGCTGCGCATGAACGTGTCACCTCAGACTGGGCCAGAAAATTCGGGGCACCACGGACACAGTGCCGTGGGAAGAGCCAATGTCCACGAAGCCCACCGTGCGCTCCTGGTGCTTGTCTTTGCTTATCTGATGGTTGAATAGGTATAGAAGTGTTTTGTTTGGATTGGCAATCCTTTTTTGCTGTCGCTGAGACTGAGACAAGTCGCAGCTTAAGATTTCATTCCTGACTTGTGCAGAACTGTGGGTCCTGACTCCTGGAGCTGACTTCGTGACAGCGCATCGCCGAAATCGTCTTGTCCCAAAGCCTAACTTGAAATCTCGCATCCGGAACTTTAAGCTTCAATTTGGCATCCTGCGAAGTTGAGTAGTGCAGTGCCGGCCTGAGTAGACACTACAATACAACTCGGCTTGGATGAGTTGAGACTTGCAGGTTGACCACTATTTCTCCAACCTCATGAGGTACTGTACACGAGGAGAACTCCCTGTACCAGAGAACAGCACCCCTGCTCCTCGGTTCCCTCCGGCAGCAGGGAGGAGCCTCTGTCTTGAGACTTCTGTTTGGTTTTTTTTGCCACCCGCCTAGACGTTAAAGACCGGGGATTGAAGCATGCATAATGATGGGCCAAGCGATAAACAAAATCCAAACGACCTCCCGAGGCAAGAACGATTAGCCCTGCAGAGCCGAAACAAGATTTGTCTAAGCACTGACACCTCAATTTGGGCTCACATACAAAAGACAGCTTTCAGGTGTGGAGGTTTACAGTTTACTGTACCACTGCATCGGCGCAAGCTGACATACACGGTAGCCCTCGTCAGTCATGAAGGGCTACACTGCAAGGCCAGGAAACCCTTTGGAAAACCTTTGGAGCCCTAGCTCCCAAGAAGGTTCCGATAGCAGTCCAATGATTAAACTTTGGGGGACCGAGATTCCCTTCCAGGACTCGGGACTTCCTACGGCCCAGCCCTCGAGGTTCACTGTGGCGGCTGTAAGGCAACCTAACTTCTTGATACATTGAGCAATGGAAGAGGCGGTGCCGGGAAGGCTCAAGAGCCTTGAGAACCTTGAGGGCCTAAGCCTATCTAGCCTATATTGCACGCTCGGATCCTGCCTTTTTTTAGGAAGTGCTAGGAAATGCTATGGTTCAACATCGCCAACATCGCCTCAAAAGCCACGGACATCCAAGCCTTGGCTGTGGGCGAAGGCCACGGCCACGGCATCGGAATGGCGAAGAAGATGCGTGGAAGCTGCAAGGTCTGCAAGTCCCACCTCTGAGATACGCCAGATACACAGACGCTTCGACAGATTGGAAATATTTCACTGTAGGATACATTCAGGGGCGCGTGCAACTTGTACAGCTCTGCCCCCCCCCCCCCCCCCCCTCGTCACATTACAAATACCGTGGTATAAACAATATATAGGTATATATGTATATATATGTATTATTAGTATTATATTATATGAAAACATATATCAATATATACATATATGTGTGTGTAGAAACCAACAATGACATTCAATATGCAGACCACCGAGGGCAGCTGGGGTAGATTCGGGGCTTTGTCCTGTGCTTACGTACTTCCGTCCATACGGTGTTCCTTCAGCTCAATGCTTTGCTTAAGTACGCGCCCAAAGCACAGCATCGTGGACAACCGCCAGCTCTTTGTCGGACAGAAAGTCTGGGACGGCAATGCAAAGCCTCAGGAGACAAGCCAAACTGGCCGCTTCCCAGCTATCGTTGATATTTGTTGAGCCCAGGGCCACGCAACGCACACTTTCAGCGAGGTTCGACAGGTCTGTCGGATGTTGAATCGGCCAGCTCAACACATGTCGCAAGTTGCAAGCGCATTTCCAAGTCCAATTGCAAACCCTGGCCCTTCAACGCAAGGAAGGCCCCATGTACTGCCCATGTACACTATGTTTTACCTGGCGTTTTCGGCCCAGATTTAATTTAGCGGCGCCCGGAAGCCAGAAACATTGTGCCCTGACGGCCCAGCAAGATTGGGCCAAGGAGCTGCTGTAAAGTGGTCCCCTCGTCGACTGCGTAGCCTCAGATGCCGGAGCCCCGCACTTTCGGGACGGTGTCATCTGCAGGGTCAATTGACTTGAACGGCTAGGAAATTAGTGGCAACAGAGACTGTCACGACGGCCGCCTTGGCAGCCTTTGCAGCATTTTGCAGCCCGAAACTTTCCGGAACATAACATACAAGCATCCAAGAATGCACAAAAAATTGTGCAGGTGGCCGCTGAGAGTGCGAAGAAGCACCTAGGTTGAGATGTGCTGAGCTTCCGGACACTGTTGGTTTCAGAATTTTGGGGACTCGGGTATGTGGAGTTCATGTCTGGTTTGTCACTTCCTTGGCGCACCGAACTGGCACCCGGTTGTGGAAGGGGCAGGCATTATGCTTCCACATTGCCTCTCGACACTTCGAGTGGTATTGGAGCTGTGTGTTTGATTCCTGGCTCAGAAAACAAACATATGCGGGTGCACGCGCATGGGTCGAAAACAGAATCCGAGCAGTCCGAGCAGTCCCTACTCCGCCCAACACTCAAAAAAAAATGCATAACTTTACTTGGATAAGGCTTCGAGATGATTCCTAGCGCCCCGAGCATCCGCAGACGAAGCGCTAGTAGAGCTCTCAACACATCACAAATGTGAAGTCTCGAAGCCCTGTTCAACCACAAAGGGCCCGCACAGTAGATTCACGAACATGACATGTGTCACCGGAGGCACGCTCAAAGGACCGCAGCTGGGCACCGGAAAATCCTTGCCGTCAAAGGTGACTGGGCCCAGCTTGCCGTCCTCCATCGGACACAGGCTTCGGGGTTTAAATCGGGGAGCTGGGGGGGCGGGTAGTGTGGTGGTGATGGCGCACAGGAAGCTCAGGAAGCTACGACATGATGCAGAGGAATGCAGAGGAATGAGGGCTGACGAGCAGCAAGGAGATCCCAACGGTCCCAACGCTCTTGCTCAAACAAACCCTGCCCATTGCTACCCGGTACAACCACTGCCCTGTAGGGCTCGGCCATTCCATCCTCTTGCGTCGGGAAAAGAAATTGATACTTCTCCGCTCGCTTCTGGGCGGAATCCGAGGCCACCTGTGCGGCAAAAGACCAAGCGATCGACTCTTCTGAAACGAACTTCGGGCTTCAGCACAGGGTCCGTAAAGAACTCAAGGGAGTAAGAAGAAGAAGAAGACATGAAAACAGAAAATCTACCAGAGTCGAGACAAGGTTGCCCCCTAGCTGCCCCCTCTGGGAATAAGTCTCGACATGTCTACATACTCCTATAATATAAACCCACGAAAAACGCGCGGTGCTAACTCCAGGATCTGGCACCAGGGCCAGGGGCAAGTGCGAGATCGTCTGCTTCGGCGCGCTCATCAAGCGGCCTTCAGCGTTCACCTGAGCTTTTGGGCTCACAATGATTCAATGGCTCAAGAAGGCCTTGGGCCTGGGCGGTGGAGTTGGGGCCTCCACTCAAAAACGGATCGGCCTAAAGCTGGAAGGACAGCCGGACAGCCGCGAGATAATCGTCGGTGACGAACTCAGCCTACACAGACTTAAGGCTGAAAGTTCGTGCCGTGGGACGCCCACGTGACGAAGCTTGCCATCGAAGGAGACTGCAGCAGGCGTTGATCGTCCAGATACATCGTTGGTGCAAATGGAGATGGCATTTCGCTCCTGGTCATTGTTCAGGTCGTGGTTGGGTGAAGGGATTGGGTTTAACAACCAGCACGCCCTGGCAAATGCTCCGTGCATTGTCTTCGCAGGGTTCGAGCTCGGATGTCTATCAGTGCCATCCCGAATTCCAATCGTAGCCTGGGTTGCATCTCAAACTCAAACTCCAGTTGTGCTTGTCAAAGCTTTCCGGTGTCTGAAAGTGTCCTCCGCGCTACAAGATGCCACAACCTCAGTTAAAGGAACAGATGGAAACTGAAGGCAGGGCTAGGACGGGGTGTCTCGCAACTTTTTTCGATCTGGGACGCTGACGGGAAACTTGACCTAGTCCGTGGGCAGCCAAAAGAATCGGCAAACAAACTGGGCCACATTGGGCCACCATAGCCAGAAGCCACCCCCACCAGAACCAGCATCCCCATGTACCCTCAGGCACCTTATTTCGCCCGGGTCCCCGGCGCAAGTCACACCCAGGTCGATCCCCACAAAGCGAGCTGCAGGCGGTGGTGAAGGGTAGGGGTCACCAGCCATGGCTGCCTGGGCGTTACTGTACCCCTCGTAGAAACAGGACTGCATCAGCATGCCGTTCATGCGTCTTGGATTCCATTGACAGTGCCAAGCTGTGACCCGTTATTACCATATATTGACACCCCACAATCACCACCGAAATTCGGTGCTCTTCCAGCCCGTTGCTGTCATTTAGAGCTGGGTGGCTGACCGACTGTATTGAACCTTCTTGCCCCAAGCGTGAAGCCTCTCCCGAAACTGAGCAGAGGATCCCTCCCTGCATTGTAAGACTGAACCACCGGAGATCCCCCCTGCCAAAAACCGTGGCCCAGTGGCGAACTCGGGGGACCACCTTTGACCCAAAGCTTCAAAGCCCAGGCAGCACACAGTAGGACAGTGGGATGCGAGATGAGCCACGCGTAGTCCTACGCCTTAGCCTCAAGCCTTCTAATCGGTTGACATGGCGAAGGGGGACAGGCTGCCCTGGTTTCTGTCTCAACATCGGCAAAGCGGCAGCAATCAGGCAGCGCTCCTTACAAACCTACCTCGACGCCTGAGGCTTCTTGTACACAACAACTCCTCCTTGGAAGTTGAGCCACCCAAGCACCCTTTCAAGCCATCCTACGCCTACGCTTTTCGGCTTTTCGGCGACTCCCATTGGCTCCATCGTGCCTTCGCTTTAAAGCGAGTTCAGGATTGCCGAAAGCCAGCAGTCATCTGCAAGCTTTTGTCAGGGTTGATTAACCTCTAGACTCCAACACTCGATGAGTAGAACATGCCTTCGATGCTGCTGGCACAGTCAATTAAAGCAAGCGCTGTGTGGAACGGAGCTGCTCTCAGCAAAAGACTCTGTGGGCAGCAGGGCATTTACCCTTGACGGGAATAATTTTTCGGTCCTTGAGCACTTACCTTTCCCCAAACAGCATGCTCTATTAACGGTCCAGTTGCAGTCGACGACCGCAACTATGTGTCGAGAACACTGAGGCTTGCCTGCTTGTCACAGAGAACAAGGTGTGGCTGCTGCAAAGTGCCTCAACGTGCTTACTGGATTATTCCGTGTCCCTTCAAAAGGGATGATCTTCTGCAAGGAGAATCCTGTTAGGGCTGTTTGAGGGCTGTGAAGGAACTGCGACACACACAGGCCAAGCTGGTGATCTCAACCGTGGTGCACCAAGAATCCCATCAGGGAAACTACGAAGACCATAGCTGCTGTGCAGCCGGTCCTCTGCTCTGGTCCATGCCCGTAGGTTCACATGCACACCCACATACACAGAATTCTACATGCATATATACATAACACACGTGTTATACAGAAACAGAATAGTAACCCGTAAGCCCTTTCACCATGCTGCCTCGCTTCGTCTACCAAAGGCCTTGATACAGCAACGGGGGGTTCGTTAAGCTCAACGTAGCCTGGGTTTTTTTTTCTCACTTTGATTTGCGAATATGAAGGATATTGAAGGATACTAAGTGGGCATCCCTGCTCCTGTTATGAACTCTTATTTAAGCAAGGGTTGGCATGGAAATCTGAACTGATTTGCGAATATGAAGGATATTGAAGGATACTAAGTGGGCATCCCTGCTCCTGTTATGAACTCTTATTTAAGCAAGGGTTGGCATGGAAATCTGAACTTCTCAGATCTGGAGATTAAGAGGTTCCAGATCTACGCCAAGGGGCAACCATTAAGAAATGAATGACGACTTTGAAATTATGCGTTTCCGGTATGTCGCATATGTCTGCAGCCTGGCACCGAATAAGAGCTGCATTCGACGAAGCGTTAGGCATGGAACTAGCCTAAGCGGCATATTGCCCAGGCATAGACCGGAGGCGCAAAAATGGGCCCATGACAGCAGTCACAACTCTCTACAGCTCTTGACGCTGCAGGCCCGCATCGAACTACAACTACAGAAGCCTAAGCACCAGACCCCAGAGCACAACGGCCAGCAATGCATAGCTGCATAAGCCTTCAACTGGCCGGCTTCGAGACCTCCCCACATGCATTTCCTGACTTTGCAATCCCGAAACCCCTCTTGGAACAAAAACTAGCCCTTGGAAAGGCGGTCGCTAAAAAACTCGGCGGTACCAAACGATGTACTCAGGATACACCTGGTGGTTGTCGAAGACCTGAGGTCTGCGGTCTCTTTGATCAGGCACAGCAGTGGAAAGCCTCAGACTCCTGAGCCTGAAATCCACCCAAATTGTCGTCCCCCCCAGTCTATCCTAAGCCTTACTAGGCTCTGTATAGTACTGTGCAAATGCAACAGTATCTGAGTCCATTCCCAGCGGCTATGAACTCGCGGAAGGTTCCATTAACCTTCTCCCGGTCTCCCAGGATGCTGTGGTAGCCTGAGGAGACAGCTTGGCAAAAATATGGCTGGGAAGCGGCTCAAGGGTTGACAACGGTTGACAACTCACGGGGGAGGGGTCTCTTGAACTTGGTTCAGCACCTCGTTAAATTCGCCTTGTTATCCCTCGCTTTGCTCGTCAGCGACAGTCAACGCCCCTCTAGTTCCGCCCTTTCATACGGCCTCCTCGCTCGCCACAGGCAGCCACCAGGTCGGAACTGATAGACACCGGTGAGGGGTGATCACAGTAGAGGACGTTCCCCAGCACCTGACTTGGAGTTTAGGATGTTTGGCATGGCTAGGGGGATTGGGCGTGCAATGGCTTGCAGGTCTTGACATGCAGTGGGGGTCAATCTCGGGACGGGGGGGGGGAGTGCCAACCAAAACAGCCATCAGACTGTTGAGATTGGGCATTCAACAATGGCTGACAGCGGCTGACACCTTCGGCATCAGTTCCGCTATCACAGGAACAGGTCATTGGAAAGATCAGCGTCAGGGCTTTACGTAGGTGAAAGCCGTTGGCAAGCAAAAGTGGCTAGACCCTGTGTGCTTCCCATTCCACTCAAGGCAGCTTAGCAATGCTACGCGCGGATCACCCAAACATTCGCTAGACATTGCGACGCCCCGAATGGCCAGTGAAACCAGTATATCAGCTCTCGAGCACCACCCGGCACAGCAGCAGAGGAAAGTAACCCCGGTGATCCGGTTGTGTGTACTCGTCGGCTTTCATACCTGGGGCAGGGGCTTCAGAGTTTGGAGCTCATGGTTCGGGAGTGGGAATTTCATCTCAGTGTTGGGGGGCGGACTGCAGAACAAATTTGGGCATTGAGAAGCCCTGTAAGACTGCAATCTCCTCCAGAAACCCTGTCCAAAGCAAGACAAGGGGCAGCTTTCAGCCAGGTAAATGCCTGGTCCGAAGAGTGAGCCGAATGCTGTCCCCGCACCTATGGATCTGTCTGGACTGGGGTATGGAGGGTCTGTGGCTTGGGATTCTTGGGGATTTCTTGGGGCCATTCCAGCAGCAACATGCCCCAAATCTTTCCCCGCAGAATGTTCCACCTCGCTGATTATCAGCTGCCGCTGCATTCTGCTTGAGAACTCCTGATCTGTATAACGCCTCTGTCACGCGGAAAGAGTACCAGGCCGGGGCACGGGTCAAGTCGAAGTTGGCATCAGTGATGCCTTCGCTCTGCTCACATCCGCAGTGCTGCGGCTGGGTTTACGTGGCAAACATTGGCAATGCCAGTCTCTTGTGGGGATTTGATTTGATGTGAAAGCCCAGGCCAGGGCATCAGGTCCTACTGGATCGGGTTCCGACAAGCCATGTTGCCCTCAGCTCCTTCCTCGGCTGTTGCGCACGGCAAAGAGAGAGGGAGGCCGAGAGAGAGGGAGAAGACCAGAGAGACTGACATTTTTGCACTTTTGAAGAATCGTACTTAACTCATGTCGGCTCCGGCCGTCAATGCTTTACATAGAGACCCTGCTTGCCCGCGCTCTATGAGGAAGTCTGTAGGTACCTGCCCTCAACGCCTGAAGCCTTAACCTGGAAACTGTCAACCTTCTGTAGGCAACCCTTCAACGGGTTTTCTGAACGTTCAGACCGGGATGGTCGAAACGCGGCATGTGCGCTCAACTTGACTCAAGGTTCTGGCTTGCAGCCATGCCAAAGGTAGTGCTCGTTGATTTTCGGATCCACAGGGTTCTCCTGAAGTTGTGCAAGGACTTCAGGGCAAAGTCTTGTGGGGACCGCTAAGGAAACTTTCCTTGCATATAGTAGACTCAGTACATGGAGTCCTGATGACACCCTGAGCTTCGCTTTGCCGAATCTATACTTGCAAAAGAAGTTCAGAAGACAGCAGGGTGACTCGTGTCGAATGTCTTGCTGATCAAACTTTCAAGCAAGTTGTCTGTCCTTCATGCGGCCGACGCCGGCCAGTGGCACAGCTGCAGTCTTCACATCCCAAACATCACCGATCCTCCGGGTCATATACATGTACTTCGGTGACGACATGCGTGGTTTATCATTAGCCCACTTGTGCTCTGCTTGAAGCTTTGCCTTTCCCTTCTTAACAGCAGGCATCGATTGTACACGCCCAAAACTGGAGGCGCAGCTGATGATCCCCCGTCCAGCCGTCTAGCTTACCTCGATCAGGCCCCCCTGCTTCGACATGTGCCCAAGGTCACCCTTGAACCTCGCCCAACCTCAACCTCGTGTCTTGGCAGTGCCTTCTAGCATTTCGACATGATGGCAAGCCAAGAGTCGGTGTTTCCGGCGTCATGACACTCGAGATCTCCGAGCGTCGCGCCCGGTAGTTCACGAACACCTGGTCTGGGGCATGTAGGGTCAAGAGGACAACCTGGATGGCAAATGGCTGCTGCATGTCTTCGTGTTTATGGGAATTCAAATTTGTGATATTGGGTTACCTACACAGTAGAGACGCTTAAGAGCAAAACCGCCCGTTAGTTAGGTCGCGGGGGCCCGCTTCCCTCCCAGGCGGGCCCATGATGGCCCGTTTTACCCCTGACTGGGGTCCCCCTTCTGTACGCCTCCGCATTCTGCACGTAGATGACGGACATGACCTGACGCAAAAACAATACACTCCAATCAGTTTAATCGTGCTTTCGGGCACTTTCTGAAAATCGAAAGACTAAGAACAGCTGAACCTTGCGGCAGAAGCATAATAAGCAAACACTTGCCAAAGCCTAATCTTCGGGTTTGGCAAATTGGGAAAGGCCTTGCGGGCCTGTGTGCTTTGAAAAGTGTTCTTGTTCGTGTTTTTGCGCAGTTGTCCTCTTTGTTTGTGCATTCTAACCATTCTAACATGCTGTGACTCTATCCCATCATCTTGTAAGCCAGAACCGCCTGCTTTGAATCACAGTCAATGAAGTTTGGGAACGACCTAAACTTAAACTGAAGATAGCAACCCCTCCAAACAAACCTGAGACCCCTAAACCCTGGAGGGGTTGCAGAAAATGCTGGCCTGCAGGCCTTTTGCCAC